TCAAGGTGCGTTTGTGAGATCACGAGCAAAGTGGATAGAGGAAGGAGAAAAAAACACCTCATATTTCTGTAATTTAGAGAAGAGAAGACAGGAAAATAAGGCAATATCAAGTTTACTGATAAATGGAGTAGAGTGCAAGGACAATAAAACCATGGAAAATGCAGTTTTTACATTTTATAATAATCTTTACACCTCTGCATATTCCCAACTAGATTCCTCAAATTTTTTAAATGAAATAAAGGACTTCATACCCAAGATTGATGTTTCATCTAAAGAATTTTGTGAGTCCGATTTAAGAGTAGAAGAATTGGATGCCGTGAGCTTGAAATTGACATTGAATAAATCTCCGGGTACCGACGGGCTCACTGCTGAGTTTTATAGATTCTTTTGGAAAGAAATCAGACATTTATTATTTAAGGCAATTCAAGAATGCATATTGAACAACGAATTAATGACAAGCATGAAACAAGGCCTAATAATACTTATTCCTAAACATGGCAAAGATAAAAGATTGTTAGATAATTTAAGACCAATTACACTTCTTAACATTGATTATAAGTTGTTATCGGGAATTATTGCAGCTAGGATGAAAAAATGCCTACCCCAGATAATAAGTGAAACTCAGTCGGGCTTTCTTGCTGGAAGATCTATCCATAATAACATACGATTGGTACTAGACTTGATCGAGTACAGTCATACAATTGTAGAACATGGTTTTATTGTATTTTTAGATTTTTACAAAGCTTTCGATTCAGTTGAACACCCCTTTATTTTAGAAACCTTAAATCATTTTGGTTTTGGACAGAAATTCTCAAATTTAATTAGTCTACTTTACAATGATATTAACAGCTGTGTATCTCTGGAGCACGGCACATGCTCACGATTCGCAGTTGAGAGGGGCATTAGACAAGGCTGCAACAGTTCTCCTTTATTATTTATAATGGTCGCTGAACTATTGTCTATTAAGATTAGAATGAACAATTCTGATGGCTTCAACGTCCTGGGAAAGCACATCATAATAAGTCAGTTTGCGGACGACACGACTTTATTTCTAAAAGACAAAAGGCAAATTTCCAGAGCGTTAGATTCAATCAGTCAGTTCTCAAAGGCATCAGGTGTTAAATTAAACACTAATAAATGTGAAATCCTAGCTTTACATGATCAACCAGCTCGCTTAATTGATAATATACAGGTTAAATCGGAAGTCAAATATTTGGGCATCACGGTCACCAGAAATAAAGAAATAAGGGAAAAAGAAAACATTCTTAAAAATATTGATAAATGTAAAATAATATTGGATTCCTGGCTGCAAAGGGATATAACAATTTTTGGCAGGGCTCTTCTAGCCAAGATGGAGAGTATATCAAGAGCCATTTACCCTGCCTTTTCTCTAGAAATTTCAAATAACATGATTAAATTAATAAATAAGATAAATTTCAATTTTATTTGGAAGGGTAAATGCCATTATATACGGAAAAATGACATGATTAAGAGTATTGAAGAGGGTGGCATTAGGGCTGGGCGATATGGAGCAAAAAATATATCTCGATATATTTTGCTATATCTCGATATTCGATATATATCTCGATATCTTTACAGGAAAATGGATGTGAATACAACTCAAAATATAGGCCTACAATCAATAGAAAATTAATTTTCCATAACAGAATGTAACCAAATGAGAAAAATTAAACACAGGGCCTGAATTTCGTCATCATTATTAATCACGTGATTCATATACAGAAACTGAATAAAGTAATCAAATGGAAAATAACACAGTAGTATTTTAGTCCTGAATAAATTAAATGCATAGGTTATTAATCCTGATTCCTTTAATTTAAAGCTATCTTTTGTTGTATTGACAACAAAATTAATGACAGACACATATGGCTGCCGTCACTTTAAGAGCTAGTGCACGGATCCTGTGTTCATTATACTGGCATGCGTTTTATGCTTATTAAAGACAAAACCGACTATGTTTAGAGTATACTCACGACGACCGAAATTGACAATTTTGCGTGTTAAAGCAATATAATCCGCGAAAAATAACTTTTGTTACTGGCCAGCTGTTCTTAAGGCGGATTTTCTATGAATGTGCGCATAGAAAATAATCTCTCAGAGAGCGCGCGATCACTGATTAGTTTAAAATCGCTTGAATGTTTAAACTGGTAAGACTTAAAAAGACGTGCAAATGGTAAACTTCAGTCACGATGCACTGCTGGCCCGATTGTGCGAGTGAATATCCATCATGTCCCGACTCCTAAACGCGAGTGTATGTTATGGCCGCAGCGCTTGATGCTTGCCTTGCACAACACATTATGAGAGAAGAGAAAGAAGACGCGGCACCGCTGAACACTCACGCTGTTTGTGAAATTGCGTCTGGCAGATAGTTGTTAAAAGAATGATTTGATTTTATAATCTGTGTGGATTACGATTGCGGGAATTTCCCGCATTATTAATGGGAGACCTGCGGGAATGATTAGAATTATGCGCAATACCCGCGCCGAAATTCGAGCCCTGCAATAGTTTAAAACAAGACGTTTGTAGTAGCCTTCTGATTACTGGAGTCCATTAATCGAACTTCCATGCCTCTTATATAGTAATTATATATTGTAGTATGTAGGCTACCAATTTACTAATGCAATTAATGCTCACACTCGGTTTCTCTCGTGCTCTGTCGCTCGCGCGCAGACACACTCGGAGTTCTGTAGCCTCCGGGCTGGTTGCGGATGAGACAATTTTTGAATGAGACAACACGCGAGGTGAGGGGGAACCAAAGCAAGGAGGCGGGGGCGAGCACAGCACAGAGAAGGCAAACAAGCAAAGTGGCGAAATCAGGATTAAAAATAAACAATATATCGATATATACGATATGTCAAAATCCATATCGTGTTTAAAAAATATCTCGATATATTTTAAATATCGAGATATCGCCCACCCCTAGGTGGCATGAATGTCTTAGATTTTTCTGTGATGAATGGTGTACTAAAACTAAAATGGTTGAATTCTTTTGTGTCTCATAATGACTCTTTTTGGTTTAGTATCCCGAATGCAATTTTCCAAAAAATGGGGGGAATTGATTTTATATTGCGATGTGACTATGATTTAAACAAACTACCTGTAAAATTATCTGATTTCCATCAGCAAGTTCTTTTGTACTGGAACCTAATCTTTAAACACAACTTTACACCACATAATACACCTCTGTGGAACAACAGGTATATTCTGAGTAATAGAAAATCCTTGTTTTTAGGAACTTGGATGGAAAAAGGAATATGGGCGTTAACACATTTGATGGATGATTTTGGTGATTTGTTGAATTATAGAGATTTTTGTGATAGATTCAATTTCCAGTGCCCATTGAGAGAGTACAATAAAGTGTTAAAGGCCATCCCAGCACCCCTGAAAATGATGATTAAACAGTTTGTAATGTACTCGAACACTCAATCAGAAATGAGACCTCTGTGTATTGAAGGAGTTATTTTAAATAGTAAACAGTTTACAAATAAGTTTATTAGAAATGTGTTATCCAAACAGTATTTCTCTGGTCAACTGAAAAGAAAATATGTTCTAAAAGATTTCAGTGACGAAGAGGCTAAAAAAATAAGGAAGCGGTATTTATCTTACCCAATCTTTCCTAAGGCAAAAGAAGTGACATTTAAAATTTTGAATGACATTTATCCATCTAATTACTTTTTACATGAAAGATTCAATTGGGAAAATAATTCATGTGGATTTTGTGAGAAGGAAATTGAGACTGTTGAACATATTTTCTTTAATTGCGAATTTGTACAAGAATTTTGGATTACATTTCAGAGTTGGCTACAATCTAAGGAGATATCGCTTCTCCCTCTGAATGTGAGCTCAATTAAATTTGGAGTTTTTTTGAATGATAAGAACTTAGATTTTTTGATTAACAATCTGATTGTTTTAGGTAAACACTTCATCCACAGATGTAAGTATTTAAAAACCAAACCCCATTTCAATGGATGGAAGAATGACTTGAAGTTATTGGTAAAATCTCTTCATTGGATGACAGACAGAAATGCCCTGAAACTTCTTTCCGTTTTGGAATTGTTTATGTTATTGGACTAAGACCCTCAACCCCCTTTTGTTTCTTTTCTTTTCTTTTTTTTTCTTTCTTTTCTTCTTATATGTTCGTTTTTCTAAGTGATCTATCAACACGAATACAACTGTATGATCGTTGATGTATGCCTTAATTGTTTGTACTTGAATTCTTTATATTAATAATAAAAAAAAAAAAAAAAAAAAAAAAAAAAAAAAAAAAAAGTAGTAGAGGACAATACTGTTTCCCAACTGTAGGGGGAGCCCGAGAGCAAAAAACGACCTGTTGTTACTTTAAGAAAACGCGTCTCTAGGCCCTGCACTTTTTTCCCGTTCTACTACCTGCATATAGCTTTATTAATCAGCTAAAGACAATAAAGGAGAAAAACGCAATCAATAATTAAAATATTAATAATAATAATAACAATAATAATCATTTTTAATTTAATATTTTTATTTTTTTTATTTTACAGAACAACAGTAAAATTACAATTACTATACCTTTACAAGCCCTGGAACTGGAAAAAAAATCGAGTTGCGAATTTTCTTACAAAAAGTTTGATTAAAAAAAAAAAAGCTTTAGGTTTGCTATGCTTGTTTGTAGGGCTGCACATTTTGTTCAAAGATTTTGTGATTTATATATCAATATGATCATAATAATAATAATAATTTGTATAAGAATATGAAAATAAGTATTTAAATATTAAACATTTAAGAAAATATAATAGTAATAATAATAATTTTATAATTATTATATGTGTACTTTGCTCTAAAACAAACACTGCATTTATGTATTTAAGTTAATTGCAGCCTTTGCAATTTGATAATTGCACTAAGCCATATTATGATTTCAGGTTTTATTGCAATTAACCCGAAACTAAACTCAATGACTAGATCTGGAACAATATATTTTACATTTATTCTGTGATATATAGGTAGCTCGGCCGAAAAAACGTGGCGAGACGGTGAAGTTCAGTCAGCATGCTGTGGTGGCCAATCACGAGGGCCGACCTTGCCTCATGATCCGCGTCGCTAACATGCGCAAGAGCCTCCTTCTGGGCTGCCAGGTAAACACAGCTCTGTCAAATCCTGATGAAATAACATATTCATCGTATACGTGCAGCTCATCATATCTCTGATTTCTCAGGTGACAGGTAAGCTCCTGCAGACGTCGGTGACTAAAGAGGGTGAGACGGTACGCCTGGACCAGAGGAATGTAGCCTTTCAAGTGGACACGTCCAGCGACAGTCCCTTCCTCATTCTGCCCCTCACTTTCTACCACATAATAGATGACAACAGCCCAATGCGGGCCTGGGCCGCCAAAGGTACGCGTAAGCATTGAAGAACTAGAGTTATTAGATCAATAAAATGTAATGATGTAGTGCTGGGCGGTATACCGGTTCATTCCGAATACCGGTGTTTATTTTTGTCATGATATGAATTTTTAATATACCGCAAAAAAGTCCCTTAAAAATTTTTGGGAGCGCGGAGCGACACTGTTTGAGAGGGTCTTATTACTGTTGCACTGTGGTGATACACAGCTGTGTGTGTTACTAAGCGTGACGGTGAAGATGGATAGGTTAAACTATAATTGATTGCTGTTTAAAAGGCTTTGACATCGTTAAAGGAACCGTATGTAAGATTGTGGCCAAAACTGGTACTGCAATCACTTTCCAATGACTGTAGAGCGGTGTATCCCCTCCCCCGCCCCCCTGACTCGAGGTTGCCAGATAGGCTGCAGGATCCAGCAGGATTCTTCTCCGTTTTCAGACGTCTCCATCTTTCAAAGGCATCTCCTATACAAATCCTTGTTTTATTTCGGACTTTGTCACGAAGTGTTTCGAAATCATAACGAGTTTTTTTTGGATTCGTAACGTTAGACATTTTTTTTATCCGACACGTTTGTAGCTGCAGCTGTGGTAACTACAGCAGAGCTGGCAACCCGGATGCCGCAACACTACTGACTTCGTGATTGGGTAGATAGGTGGAGGGTGGAGCATCAGACCAAAACACAACATGACAACATCAACATCAGTTGAGGGCTGCAACTGCACTTTTTAAATGACAATATCCTGGCCGGACTACTGTTGTCAGTGATATAAGTATTTGAAATGAAAATGATTTCTTAATGTCTAGTGATATATCAGGGCCATTTTATGATTAATTGAAATACATTTCTTACATACAGTTCCTTTAAATAAACATGAGCACTGCACATTTCAAAGTCAGAATGCGGCTATGTTTTTTTTTTATATTAATGTATCTTTGAAGGAAACTGACTGTCTTAATAAAAGTTATTTTCATTTAATCTTTCTTTATCTTTCCTGGTAAGATTTCATTTAGAAAAATACCATCAAATAAAATTTTGGTCATATCGCCCAGCACTATTATGATGTTGGAATTCCAAAATTCAGTATGAAAACCTAAGTCTAGGACCGTCCCATCCGAAAACATATTCCTTATTTTTTAATGGAAGTTGAGCTGTGTAAGGATTCAGGGCGGATCTAATCCGTGGGGAATTTGCATATCATAATTAATAATTGGTAATTAATAATTATTCATACATGTTTGGATTAGATCAGTCTTACATTAAATTTAATCTCCCTCTAAGGGAGGATCTGTCACTTTACCTGCATGCATACGTGTGAATCCCGGAAATCAACCACAAGTTGATTGTAGTTAATTACACGGACCATGTTTCACAAACAGGTAAAATGAATTAGCTCAATTGTCAGGATAATATTTGTGGGATCCACAATATCATCTTACTTTATAGGATTTCAGGAAACGCAATTCTCTGGCCAGAAGAATTGGGTTTCCCGCCCTATAAACACAACACATTCTCTTTAAGGTATTTTTAATTTTAGTAAGCATGTAGCATAAGACCTTTTGCACTTAAGGGACTTGAAATTGAGCAAAGAGACAGCACATCAATCTAATGAATATATAATTAATTTAATAGAGGCATGACTACTTATGTATTTACTACGGTTACACGGGATATATGTATTTACAAACACATAGACATCAATGAACAATACAATAAGACATCAATGAACGAGAAATGCGTAAAGTTTGGACAATGGATAACTTACACGCGTGAGCGAGTAAGAGAGAGAGGAAAGGGGATGGGGAGAGAGAGAACAGAGAAAATTGGGATAATTTAATTGGCAGGAAGACATTCACCACTCCGATAACAACACGAAACATCATCTTAAAACTTCTTAGAAGCTCTATAAAGAGATATACTTGCTCAAGTTTCTTGGTCTCTCTGTATCGCGGCAATCCTGCGCGGCCTTGTCTGGCCGCGTGCGTGAGAGGATTCCTTTGTGTGTGAGGAAGCATCACGTGGGCTGCTTGGCGCGCGTGTTGAACGGAGGTTCACAGTCTTTGGGGTAACATTACCAAAGGAAAATAGTTCGGCTGAGTTCGTTTCACTTCGTAGAACGGAGGAATCACGAGGAGTTAATGTTCCATCTGTGCATGGCTGGCGAAGAAGCGCGTGCTTCGCTCGGTCCGGCGCGTCACGCGGTCACGTGCGCGTGTTTCTCCTTCAAAGCGAGCGCGCGCTCGTTTAAAGGTCCCTTGTAGATGGATTTGCTGAAGAGAAATGTCACGGGGTTTTCTTTTCAATCGTCGATTGGAATTAAACACAGAGACTTATCTACAACTGAAAAACACAAACTAAACTAGAAACAAATAAAAGAAAGGCGAAGAACTCGCCCGGAGGCGAGACGTTACATCATGACACGAGGACACGGGAGGAAGAGCGTCCAGAGGGAGGTTCAGTCCTCTTTAGAGGAACTGGAGTCCACACCTCTGAGGTGCGAACTGGCCAATGACATTCAACGAAACTTTTGGCGGCCAAATTCTCTTTGTCTTGTCAAAGTTAAACTATGGCCGTGTCCGCCTCTTTTATGACCAGTCAGAATTTGTCAGAATCATTCCACAAGATGATAAAAACATAGAAAACATACATTTTACTGTAATCTTCTGTATCTGACCAAATCAGTTGGAACGAGATAATTAAAACGGTACCAAACACAACATTTACACATAATTGGAATATGAAGATACATCTTAATACATAACTTTTAAACTCTCAAGAGTTTCACTGATACGCTAGGAGATCATTTCTAAACTACCATGGACTGGGAAACACACAGACATACAGGAATATATCGTATACAATTGGTAATGGCTCGTTTTATGCGTGTAATGTAAAGGTCCATTATGTGTGTGTGTGTTGGTTCGTGTGTGTGTGTGTTAGAGTTCTGTTATCTCTCTTGTAGAGATGGGGGAGGGCATGGAATGTTTAAAGCATTTTATGACTCTGGCCATTCCTGAGAGAGAGAGTGTGTGTGTGTTGCATTCAGTCTTTTTGGGTCTTTAGCAGGATGTATTTAGTTATTCAGATTCACCCTTTTAGCCCAGTCCTTACAGCTGGTATCTTTAGCTCAACTAGGTCTTGGGTCAAGCATCTGCCAACTGTGTAAATGTAAGACAGAAGAGGCACCATTTCAGCCGGTGCAACCTTAGGTGTCGACCAAAGGTGTCGACCAAAGGTGTCGACCAAAGGGTTGGTGGTGCCAGCTAGAAAGAGATGTGCAGGTAAACCTCACTCCCCTGACCTCAAGAGGTGCCCTAGTGACAGACGCAAGAGACTGCTGTGTTTAGTGTCCTTGTTAGCGCACCTGCCTCCAATGCCAGAAACAAGGGCTGTGACTAACGTTTATTTTGGTATTCGACTAATCTGTCGATTATATTGACGATTAATCGATTAATCTGATATATTTTGTGGTAATAAAAACAGATCTAAGCAAACAATAGCCTTTAAAATGACTTAAAATGCATATATAAATAATTACAATGAGGCAATAATAATTGTTTCAAATAAAGTATCAAAATCATATTATAGTTTTATAGAAAAACACTGTTAAAATGGAAAATATAATATGCATAATATAGATAGACAATCAATTTATGTATATTATGTTTTATAACAAATGCCTGCAGAGGGCGCCGGTGGCCTGGTGTTGTTACACTTTACAGTTGATCAAATCCTGGTTAATTCTCGGCCAAACGATATTTAATTCAAATGTTAACTTAATCATTATTAATATTTGGCAACTTCTTTTAAATAGAAATGCTACAGCCACTGCAATTTCCTGAATAAGAAAATGTGGACATCAAAACATGCAAACTCAGAGCAAAGCAAAGGGTTTAGATTTTTATTTTGAAATCGCAAAGAACAGTTCGCATATTTAGAAACATGTTGTATGTAAATGTAAATGATTAAAGCAATCAATGGCATTATCTATGCCTTAGTATGTTTTTAAAATGGTTTTAATACATTGTGGAGCCTTATAAAACGGTCTAATAATGCAGTTCATGGATTCTCGTCCGTGGAACTTCTGGGGTTTTTTTGCCGGTTTCTCGACACGGGTAAATTGTAATCGAGGATTTTTTAAAATCGAGTTCTTGAATTTAATCAAGGAATCGTGACAGGCCTACCAGAAACGAAGATTCAAATGAGCCCTCGTCGCGGTGCGAGTATAACCGGAGGGGTTACATTGGTGCCGTGACCCGGATGAGAGTGAGGTTTAGGTGGTGAGTGTAGCGGAGGCCAGCTAAAGAGCTGTGTGAGTAAACCTCACTCCCCTGATCTCAAGAGGCGCTCTAGTGACAGACGCAAGAGACTGCGGTCCTTGTTAGAGCACACACCTCCCATGCCGGAAATACTGGTTCGAATCCTCCTCGCCACATGTGCGAGTAGAACTGGAGGGGTTACACCAACATCTTTGAGATTCCTTTTGCTCAAAAAGTAGAGCATGGGTTCGATTCTCAGGGTATGCATGAACTGATCAAATGAATACTGTGAATGCAATATAAATTTTGTTCGATAAAAGCGTCTGTCAAATGCATGCATGTATTTTAGCTTAGACTAATTTGAGCTTCTTTGTGATAGCTATGGTGGCAGATGAAAACTGTCAGTAGGATACACCTGAGAACAGGGACGGCTCCAGCAGAGTTTCTCTGAGGATAGAGAGCTGCATGAGAGAAACGTGAAACAGCAGTGTGGGGAGAGGTGTCAAAGACATCAGAGAAGCTCTGTTTCAGTGCTGAGGTCACGCTGCAGGCAGAAAGACCGAGGAGTTCTGGCACTTTGAGCACACGCTGGTGCCCTGTTTCCACTGACACTTCACACCTGAATCAAGTGCGCGTAGCTGGCTCAATTTATGTTTCCACTTTGCCTCTACTTGATTAATCTTGAGGGTAAAAACGTGAACTAGATTTGTGGATTTAGTGTTTGCCTGTGCAAAAC